AGAATAGATAATATAAGAATGTGAAAACAGTATGATGCAAGACATTGTAGGAATGACAAATTGTTTATTGCTGCATATTCTAATGCACAAAATATTTGATTCTATTATATACTTTATCAGTCAAAAACATCTAATATTTTGATTTTTTTTAGATTATTGAAAATATTGGAGGACGTCTTTTATTAAAATATGATACACCAGGTTCTTCTCACGACAGCTTCTGGATATTCTGTACATCCGAGCGTCTACATTCATACGGATTTACGTCTAAAACAAATTCTACTTGGTTCTTAGAACCACCAACTTCGATAGTCGATTTGCACACGTACGAAGAATGGAAGGATTTGCTGGAATCTAAACCAAAAGATTACGAGCCACCAGAATTGTTCAACAATAACGTCGATCACCCGAAACATAATTTCGAAGTTGGAATGAAAGTAGAAGCCTTATGTCCAACAGATCGAACAAAAATCTGCCCAGCTACTGTATCAAAGGTTTTCGACGATACATATTTTCTCGTAAGCATAGATACGCGTGTTGATATTTTAAATGGACCAGAAAATGCGGCTGTATCTAATAATTCAGAAGATAATACATGGCTGTGTACCATGGAGCATCCATACATATTTCCAATTGGATGGGCAGAAAAACATAATATACAGTAAGTAAATATATGTTTAAGTTTACCATAATTTTTGAAGAGTGCTGTTAATGTAAGTTAAGAGAATATTTTTACAAGCAACAGAGACATTACATATTGTATATAATTTTGCTGAGACATTAAGGAGATGCTGGAGTCGATGACGAACTCGAACAATGTCGATAATGCAGAGACGATCGTCACATAATCACACTATGCTTTTCGTATTTTTTGTATATGTATACAGAACTTATATGAATATGTGTTGCTTTGTTTTATCATATTAAATAGAAAATCTAACTATATATGTATAGAAATTTTTTTGTAAACTTTTTTGATATTCATAAGCTTCCAAATGCAAATGCGAAGGTAGAGCAATGTTCTTCAAAATTTTTCTGTTCGGAGCATCTACACTTTCGATATGTATAAGCTGTGGAACTTTTGGATTAGGCAAATATTACGCTGACAGCTTGAGATTTTATATTCAAAATTTTTTGTTCGTTTTCGTTACATATCGAGCAATGCTCCTATTTATTTTTGCACGTACTTTCATTGCATAAAAGCTTTTGTAATTTTGTGTAATCAATACGACGTAAACTTTGCAGAAAAATGTCAGTGTTCTGTCGGTAAAGTTTTTAGTTTCAGTATCCCCTTAATATTTTTTTTCCTCCTAATATTTCTGTTTAAAGTTATTTTATCCTCGTGTTAATTTCTTCACAGTAAAGAGATATAATGTGTGAAAAGATCGTACAGACTTATATATATTTGTACAAAAAAATATACATATGTTTTCTTTATTTAGGATTACTCAACCATTAAGTTGGGCCGGAAAGACTGAAAACTTTGACTGGAATGAATATTTAGAAACGTTCCATGCTAATCCTACATCCGAAAGCTTGTTCAGCATTCGCGAGAGTGCTGCTGAAGCAGGCTTCGAATGTGGCATGAGACTAGAGGCTGTCGATTTGGAACATGAAGATGTGATATGCGCCGCTCACATCACTAAGATCGT